AAAACGAGCCGAGCTCCAACCCCCTTTTCTCGTGCTTCCAAATACCGCGGCTGCTGACAACGCGCGAAAGTAGAGCAGATATCTTCGTCTCCGTTGGAAGTGAACTCCGGCACGACGGTGAGAGCGCACGCAATTCCGTGCTAAACTCGCCCTGAGCAGCTCGCGCACAGCGCCGGAAATTCGCGGCGCACGGCTGTCTGGCTTTGTGAGCCACTTGACGAAATATAATTCGCAACTGAGAAAGCGCTTGCCCGCTGACACCGGGCTGATCCGGAAGTGCAATTCAGAGTTCGCGATTGTTCGTGCGTGCACCCCGGGTATTTGCGCCGCGCTGCCGTCGGCGCTGTGCAATTCCGCGTCTTAATCAAGAATCGCGGCATTCGCGTAAGAGTAAGCGGGCGGATCACGTGAGACGGATTAATTATTTTCAAACGATCGAAGACGGAAGAATTGCGCGCTATGTTATCTGAGAACGCGCGCGTGCGAGCACGGCGACTCGCTGGTACTCGTGTTTTCAAGCTACGCCGGAGATTTATGCTCGTGTGCACTCTCTTTCGCCATTTTCCCTGGAAACAAGAGAAGAAGAAGAAGAGGGGAGAAGTAGAGAAGCAGAAATTCACCGTACGTTCGTGTACAAGCCGCATCGTGTAAGCGCGCATTCATTTCTTCAAAAAGTAAAGAGACGCGGTGAGTTTCGATGGGAGGTATTTCGGGGTATACCTTTATTAATGAGGTAGAAAGATAATTAATTAATTTGCGCTTTAATAGTCACAATTACGCGTTTCACGCGAAAACGAGCTGCCTTGCTGCGGCGTTTTAAAATTGCGGAATGGTGATATTAATAAAAATCTAATAAGGGAAATAATATATACGGATATTCTCTGTTGGATGCGCGCACATTAACGGTAATTTGATAATACGGGATAATGCGAACGGCTGTACTCGGCCAAATATTACATCGCGCGGACGTGCAGCTGCGGTACGCGCGCACCGCCACTGACGACTACGACTCGCGCGATCTCGCCATTCGCGCGAGTTTCGAAGCGAAATGAAAAAGAACAAGCGCGATATCGACGGCACGAATACTCGTTATTTCCGTGTTTGTTATTCCGGCTGCGACGTTTGTGTCGCCTTTTATGTCGCGGTGAAACGACTTTACGTCGAAAATTGTAGTTAATCAAAGGCGGCCGCGTAGCCGGGGTTAACGAAATCCAGAGTGACTGAAAACAAAATTGGTTGAAACCGGGGCCACGCATTCTCAAAGCACGGCCCCCGCGTTTTTCAGCGAAATTCCCGCAACGTCAATCCGTATATTTTTCCTTTTTTCACCTGCATTTATTCCTCGCTCCCGCCATCTCTCTCTTTTTCTCTTTCTCGCGCACACATGAACACACACATATACACACGCGCGTACATACGCTCACCTTTTTTTTTTCTTTCAACGAACGTTTTCGATACAAAAATACGGTTTCCTCGGAAAAAGGATATTTTGCAAATGGATTTACAAAAAACTACTGTCGCGCGCCAGGAAAGAAGCCCGCACGCGCTTCGACGGAGTATTTCCCGAGCGCCGAGCGAATTTGCTGCGTATTCTCCGCAGTCGAATTCAAACGATACAACACGCGAGATATCGATCTCACGAGATCGTTAACGTGATCTCAATCCCGGCAACGCGTCGTAATCCGAGAGAGGTTCGAGGCACGCGACGTTTTGCGCGACTATCGATAGGGACGGCCGATCGTCGCCGCGGATTTTCTAGCCGCTGCGCGTATGCCAGGCCTGCGGGCACTTTTTCCACTGTTTCAGGGATCTCGCCGACTGCTGTTCCTACTCCTTTCGTTTCACAGCATCTTGGCTGCGTTCATTTCGGGTGCTCACGCGCTGTAAACGTTCTATCTATCTCTTTTTATCATGCAACGAACATTAAGCGCCATAAAAGCCTTAACATTTACTAGACTTAGTGTAGACAGCGGTATTTTTCGATCATACGCAATGAATCGACCATATTCATGCATCATGGCTGTTGTTGATTATTTTTCGAATCGGTAAGGATACTCCAAATCAGCAGTCATGATGCACGAACACGTCGATTTATTACGTATGATCGTACCGGCGGTAACAATAAAAATTATTTTTGGAAAAATTGCGCGCACATAAACGATGTAAAACAAAATTATTTTCTGAAATCTGCGAAAAGACGCGAAAACAATCTCTAGCCACGTACATCAAGTAAGAATGATATTTTCAGGATTTCTGAGGACGATTATTTCAAATTTGTAACCGTTATTGCAAAATTCAAAGTGGCGGATCCCAAAGTAACGAGTAAAATAATTAGAACTGGGATCTGCCGTGTTACACTTTTAGGTCCGGAATTTCCATTTGGGGTTTTGCCGTGATGACTACAAATTTGTAGCCGGCACCTCCGAAAACTGTCATTACAAACTGAAAGTAAACGTTTCCCTTCGCAGGAAGAATTCAACCATTCCGATATTGATTCCCGCCGTAGTAAATGGAGCCGCAAGGTGGTTAAACAGCGGGGCGAGCAACGTCGCCAAATCCCCGTACGATTTCCAGCTGATGTGGTCCCTCCGATTGAGCGTCTCATGTCTCCTGCGGGAGATGCTGCGAAACGAGAGGAGTGGGAAGTAGCTGGGATCCCTGAAACAGTGGAAACTGTCCGCGTGCGGCTCGTATAGACGGTCCTCCTCTTCGACGAGGACGGTTGATTTCAATGGAATGATCTCGTGTGCCGTTTATGCGGGAAAGAAAGAGAGGCCTGATAGCGTGCGATACGTTTTAGCAGCTGGTGAATGCACAGTGTATATGCGTGTCGGCGGCGTGTCGCACACCATCGCGCGGATTTCAAGGGAAATCCGGGCTGTACCTATAACACCCCGGCCGTTGCCGTCACGAAAAGGAACGTTACCGTCACGTCAAGATATAATGTGATGTATTTAAATAGGGGGCTACGTAGCCGCACGCGAGAACTTTCACATGCGCGCGACTGACGTGACGCGACAATCCGCGAGACGTTGATGCTACGTACAATCTCTCCCCCTCTCTCTCTTTCTCCCTCAATGACGTGATGGGAACGTTAACGGAACGCTGATGCCCGGAGTTTCCGTCTAACGTTAAAGCGTCAGTCGTCAAGTGGCCGCCGCCTCCTCCTCCTCCGTGGAAAGTGATGCATCGCAAATCCGTCGAAAGTTGGCCGGTACTCAAAGTGTCCCGCGGGCGTCGACTTAACGCGTGCACCGGGAATATCCCTCTCGTCGACACGGTCCACGGACCGTGTTGCAAAGAGTCACACAGGATATTCAATTATTATTTAAGTTAACGGTTGTCCGTACGCAGTTGGATTTCGCGCCGGAGGCGAAAACGACGGAACACCTGCGACACAGGTGTCGGGTGTCGTTATTCTCGTCGCCGTGGCGCAGTTCATGTAAACAAAAACGAACGAATAATACGTGGGTATACACGAGGGGGTGACGATCAGACGATCTGTATCTAATGATAGAGAATTCTATCTTTCTATCGTATGCGCCGCGTGGGAAACGCTCGAGCGGATTTACGCAGGCCTGCGTTAATAAATGCGATTCCAGTGCTCGTCACCGGTGTTCTTCTCCTACCAGACGGAATTCCGCCCGGAATCGTAAATCGTCGAAAATGGAATCAATATCGTGAAAAATTCACTCGACGCGGAGGCTCGTTAGCGATCCGCCTTCCTGCAAGAGCGCGATTAAGAATTCACTCGTACTGCAGAGACCACCGCAAATCCAAGTGTGTAATTTCACGTAGTCGCTTTTCGCGCATTTGTACGCGCGTTAATGCTATGATTTTACATATATAAGTATGTAAAAATTACACACGTGGATTTGCCGTGTAATTCTTACCTACTTATGTGTGTAAAATTGTAATTTTCATATACTTATATGTGTAAAATTACACTAATAACACGTGTAAATTACAAATGTGTGAAAAAAGATTACACGAAGTGTGTCTTAAGTACTTTTATACATTAATATGATCTTTTTTATTGATTAAGGATTATTGAAAATGGTATAGGTACCAAGCGATATACAACGTTACCACGTGAAATGGACGTAGTTTAAGCTGGGTATACATTCGAGCGAACGAACAGCGAATTCAAACATTCGCCGTTAAGGTTCGGAAAATGTGTACACCTTAACGAAACATCCATGTGAACGTCCAGCGAACGAATAACGAACGAACGAATAAGGGAGTGCGAACGTTCGTTGTTCGGAAATGTGTACGCCTTAACGAAGGGAACGTTTGATTCGTGTTTGGGCCGAATCGCTTTTAAGAGAATAGGACGAAGGAAGTTCGTGAACTTCGTCAGCTCCGACGGTTAGCTAAAATCGACTATGATTTGCTTGTATTTTTAGATTAAAAAATATATACCAACAATAAGACGGTATACCTGAGGTTAAAATGCTGTAAGTGAGATAACCCGTTAGGTACGCACTCGCTCTGCGATCGTCCGTATTCAGCTGGCGCAATTTGTAAATAACACACAACAGTAATCGCGAGAAGGAACACGGAGAAAACAAATTTGCTGGAACAGCAAATCGTTGGTTAATATAGTGATAGTAAAACAAATTCGTTTGTACAGCAGGAAAGTTTGGTAAGAATATTAATTACTATTTACTGAATACATGGGCAGCAAAATAATTTGGTCGTACTAAATTTCACTGCTGTCGCTACGACGTTTCGCTACAACGTTAGAATCGTTCTTTCGTGTAACAAATTTTCTGGCTGTCACTATATTAACAAATAATTTGCTGTTCCGACAAAACTTTCCCCGTCGAAAAATCAGTGCGGATGCGAGATGTCCGCGAAAACAATGAAAGATAAAGGATCCGCGCGGCCGACTGCCGCGTCCTAAAGCCGCGATTTTTTGTCACGGCCGACAGCTTTGCACTTCCCCCCGCTTGAGAAGATAATCGCATAATCGCTGAAATGATCGCTTCTGCTTCCAGGTGGTATAGCGTCATGCTTACGAAACTTTCGGACCGATTTTCTGGAGGAATGGCCGACGCCGGGCACCGGGCCCCACTTCGACACCTCCATGCAATCGAACTTCACCGGGTTGGTGGGGAAGACGGTGCATCTCGTGTGCAAGGTGAAGAACTTGGGGAATCGAACGGTGAGCCATCGAAAAATCCATCGTCGTCCGGTTCGTGACCGGGAGCGCTATTTCTCAGCCCTGAAAAAGCGGACAGAGCGCGCGTCCGCCGCGCTATCCACCCTGCCCTTCCTCCCCCTCCCTCTGCCGCTTCGCACTGCTGTTGAATAATTTAAGAATAGGGCCGCACGAACGACCTTGCGACCCTTCCACGCGATCGTAACGGATACTTTAACGGCGCGTCACGTCGCCAGATTCCGCCGGCCGTTCGACGCGCGGAGACGTTGTCGTTAAACGACTTTCTAATCGATCGACGGCCCACGGAGAGGATGCGACTGGCATTCTCGGGCTCCGGGATGAGAGTAAGGTAAAAATGCCACTGCCTGTTCGTATTTAAGGACCAAAACGTCCACGAGAATATCCAGAATTAGGTTCGTGTTCAGGCACTTTTACCTCACAAGTGAAATAGTAACAAGCGCAAAGAAAAAGAAACAAAAAACACCACGGATAACCGAGTTTCGTCTCCTCCGGCTCCCTCTTTCAGCCGAGCTTTTATCAAAAGAGTACTTTAATCTGGGAACCGAGAGAGGTCCTGTCTTGACGAAAGAATCGTAATACGTCGAGTGACATCTTATCGGTGAGCTCTCGAGCGTTTAATCGGCGGAGATTACCGAAACCGGCTCGTAAATCCGGTTTCATTCGCGCGTATTTATCGAGAAACTTCCCCTTTTTAACGCGTTTTTACCCCGCTGTTTTTTACACACTCGAACCGCTAATTACAACGATGGCATTCACGAGCGCAACGAAAACGAGCGCATTTCTATGGGGCCCCGCGTTCCGCTTATGAAATATAAAATCGCCGTTCTTACACGGCTGAAGCCCGGGTGGCGCGCAGTTCGTCCGACGTAAATGGGGCTATTAAATAAACATTACCGTTCCTTCATCGTGCACGGTGCCGGCGTCTCATGAAAAAGGCAAGCGATGTTAGCGTTTATGTTCTTGCATTATAAACCGCTCTTCTTTCTTCTTCTTGTGCACCGAGCGGAAGTGTTCATTTCTCCCCCCCCCCCT